GAACTTTTTAAAAAACGAAATTTTTTTTTCTTAAGGAGAGGAAACCCTGTCTGCTCCACACTGTAAATAGGATTCAATACTCCAATCAGTGGAGGGGAGGAACACACTATGATAAGTCGTGTACATCGGAAGCATTATTATAATTAAGTACCCTCAAAGTGTAAACCTGACGTCACGTTTCGTGGGTAAGGTTTCTAAGTGCAAAGTACGATGTACGGGATAGAGAAACAGATCTTTGCAGCAGACCGTGTCGGATTTTGATTTAAAAGTTCCCTGGAAATTCTCCGAAGAGCTCACAAGTCAAGGATGATCGGATAATTCTACTGAGGCTCAAACCACATAATTTTGTACTAATTAAAGTACAAGAGGGTGTGTAGCCGAGACTAAGTAGCGAGGGGACGGGAAGCATGTGGTCTCAAATCTTCTTGGCGGTATGTTTGGGAGCGTAGAAGTTTTCTGAGTGGGAGTAAATTTTACTAATCAGATTTATTTAAACAGACGTTCTCCAGAAAATGTTAAGTTTTTATCACCTTAAGTGTGTTTATAAATGGTGTATATACAAGGAGATTTAAGCCCAAAACCACAAAGTGCATTTATCAAGTACAGTGTTTAATCTCTGATCCCTAGATGTAGCGTATCGGACAGTCACGCGTATTGTGGTACATATCTTCTTTGATGTCGTTCAATAGTATTGTCGGGGAAACGTTTGATCCATTAAAATACATGTATTATGTCATTTCCAGAACACACAACTACGTCATCAAAAATGGAAGGAGGAAGAGCACGTAACTATGTCGTCGCCAAGTAATGTTGTGATTTACTTGGTTCTCTGTTTGTATTGTCAAACAAAACAACAACAACTTCAAGTACAAGATAAAAATATAGTTAATGACGATACGCAAGTGATGATATAAAGAAAATCGTGTGTTTTTTTAAACAATTTTCTTTATATATATATGTGTGTGTGTTTGTGTGTGTGTGTTTGTGTGTGCGTGCGTGCGCGCGCGCGCGTGTGTGTGTAAATTGCAAAATTAAAAATAAAGAAATAACTTGAGTTTACTTATCAGTATGGATGGCACTGTATAAGGCAAGCTGTAAGCAGAGGAATTGTTTTACAGGATCACCCTTGAAGACTTCTATCTTCATGCACATGTAAATCCGTCAGATACAAGTGATGACACGCCTTCAAACAAAGTGCCGTGGAAACTGAAATAAACACCCACAAGACAACGTTTCGAACATATATATGTAAAAAACTCCAACGTCCATTTATTAGCATAGTGTAAAATTCGTCAGATACAAGTAATGACATGTCCTCAAAGTGCCGTGGAAACTGAAATAAAAACCCACAAGACAACGTTTCGAACATTTATATATTAAAAAAGCCAACGTCCATTTATCAATCAGCACAGTAAAATATTCAACAAGAATTTCGGGGCACGCCCGTGTATTATGAATCATTTCTGATATATGACAATGCTACGTGTGTACATAAAATAAAAAAAAATATCAAAATGCATCGTAACAATTTGGAATAAAATGATCAAGTGTGGAATAAGTTTTCTAAAGTTAGCTTGAAGAAAATGATTTTAAGAAACATAAACTCGTCAGTTGACAGCCGGCCATTTTAATATTTTACAAAGTCGTTGTCACCATTTCCTAGAGAAGTATATGATAGATGGCTGTGGTCGTTTAAATTTGGGAGCGGGCAGAAACGAAAGAGTACCGCGGGATGGAACAATATAAACCCGTCCCACGCCAAAGGAATATACGGAAATGGTGATAATGAGTCAAACTGTTTTGGAAGGAAAACAGCGAAATATGTTGAATGATAAATGTGTGATGAAAAGAAAACAAGAAAAATCAGAAAAAGGAGGAGATATTTGGACATGTATTTTTTGTAAAAACTTTCCGAAACTGAAAAATCACAATGCCAGAAGAGAAAATGCAATTTGATGTAATGGTTATATAGCCTACCGTTTGATATTGATGGAAACTGAGGAAGATGATCTCATAAAGGAAATAAAATACTGAAAAACAAAGGGCAATAACTCCTTTAAAAAATTGCTGAATCATACTACGAAAACATTACTTAATGTCATGGTAATAAAGCTTACCAGGTTTGAAAGAAATCGCTGAAAAATTGAGAGATATGATCCTAGGACAAAATTAACATTATGAAAACAAGGGGGGATAATTTGTGTTGGAGCCCTTCCCTTGACTTCAAATGATTACTAGGCCACCAATATCTCGGATATCAAATTCAATGAGAAGGCTCCCTCTGACCCCTAGTGCCTATTCGGTTATATCAATAGGTCTAGGGGAGTACTAGATATGTCTTTATCTACAAGGGGCACCTTGCTCCATTGTTTTGCCTGTTCAACTTTGAGAACATATAGGGAGAAATTGCTGACATGTAGCCATCTTGGATTTTGATAAAAAGTCTCAGACTGTGTAGTTTTTCCTCATTAATTGGTGGTATCACGTAATTCATTAATCCATAAATACATGTAATTATTAGTGTAAAAAAAGGGTACAGATGTAAAAAAGAAGTAGAAAATTTCATACACGTTGTGTTGGAGAGAGAAAAGATTCATCCATGATCAATACTTAAATCAAAAATACACTAAAATATGGTAGTTATTAGAAACACAATGTAATAATTACATACATTTATGTACATTGTCTTATAATTTCTAAAGGCATGGAACAGATCCATGCTTTCTTATAAAGTACAGATCCTGTTACCTTAAATTCAGTGGTTACTTGAGCAGTAAAGATGATAACACTATTTGAAAAATTGCCAGATTTTGATCAAGAAGACAGACAGTGTGGGCTGGGGTCCACTGCCAAATTTGACCACACATTTTGACTTCAACAGCATCAATAATAACAAAATCAAGTCAAAATTATATAATTTACTTTCAGCTACCTAGCCATGGCAAGACTTTTTGTTCATGTACCAAAAAGGGTAAGAATTAAATTTAGATTTATAACAATAGACTTATTTTTCAAATTGATGTACATAATATACAATGATTGTCTCAAATGTGTTTTATATCAAAATCACCCATCACACATACCGACAATATATAGTAAATTATCTGTGGGAGGCACTCTTAACATAATTTTCCTTCTAATTTTTATGTCGGTTTAGATTAAATCGCAATTTTGTGATAGGAGATAATTGCAGGTCTTAACTTTTCCTCAAAATAGATAACAGAAATATATTATCTGGAGATGAATCAACTAATTCAAATTTAAATGTTACTTCACCATATCTAGAGTACTTCAGAATATGGGCCAACAGATACTTGTTATTTTGGATGCCAATTTCTGAACTTCATTCAGAGAACTGTACAGGGTGGTTCATTAAATTTTCAAGGTAAATCTACCCCTTAATAAGGAATAAATATTAAAACAATACTCAAGATACAAAGACAAATGATCTGTTTTAATCTGCCCTTAAAGAACCGAGTCTATCCAAGTATTTAAATATTACATAAAACTTTATAACACATTCCTATGATAATTCTAATGGTTTACAATGAATATTGATATCATTGGTATGTTCAGGTGTTAAAAAATTGTTTTTGCCTCAAACTGGTCTGTTTTTCACTTTTTATGTCGAAAGATTAGTGTCCGTGCCATGTCTTCAGTAAACCAGTATCTGGTTTTGGTTGTAATTATGATACGTCAAAAGATGTTGAAGTAAGGAAAAAGTTAAGGTAGGAAGTAAATTTCATCTGACATTGGATCCCAATAAGTGACAAATCATGTGAATGTTTGGACAAGTAAGCTAAAAAGAAGAAAACAACATGTTTACTTCAATGACTTTTATTTTACAAAATAAATGAGATGTCTCCCATGATGTACATTCTTACAGACTTTCTCTCACTCCTATCAATATTTCTTTCTCTCATTCTATTTACAATTTCATCAAACTTTCCACATACACAAGCATACATTGGTACATGAATGTATAAACAAACAATATAAAACACACACAAGTTACAGATATACAATGAACTGTTAGTGTGTACAACATAAACCATTCAAGGGTCCATGGAACTATATTAAAAGTGTACTTTGAATTCCGTCATATTTCTTCAGTATTTTTATAACCAATTAACAGATATATGTTATCTTATATAACTTATCTGCGACTTTTGTCAGAGTTATTCCCCTTGAATACATGAGGTCACCATTGGGTAGCATATACCCTTAAGGTGTTAAGATAGGACATTCTGGACAAATACTCAGAATGAGTGTAACAAATGGATTTTCGATATATTACTGATGTAATTTTAAAGCTTTAAAAAGAACACTGAACAATACCATTACTTGTAAACAGAAATGTATAACAGCTGTTTTGAGATGCTTAGTTTACAATTATGCTCTGTTGAGAAGAAAAGACTTTATATTTTCAATATACTACCTAAGATTTGATATACTTCTCCTATGATCACCCATGTTCTCTCGAAGTTAGTTTTTATGTCCGATTTCTATGACATTACCCAATAATTTTGGTAATTTTCTTCTCTACAAGTATTGACATCATACCTCATTAAAATTTGAATCACCTTTTGGTGAGATAAAATATGCGGATCAATGATATTCATAATTCTAATAAATTACACTGCTTGTTTCATACATAAGTGTAAAACTTTGGTCATGTTTGAGTTAAACAGTCTGTAATGATTAATGACTTCATGTAAGGAATACTATACTATAATAATAATAATAAAAAAAAATTCTGAACTGGGTTAGATATTCCTGGTCCCAATAACTTACGTCTTTATAGAATTTACTCTAATCCTGCATTTGTATTTTGTATTTATTTGTAAATTGATAAAGTACTACAAGGTATGAGATTCAAAGTTGATCTATTAATTTTGTAGAGAATGTTCATTATACATCAAATATTTTTGTAGAAAATGTTCGTTAACAGTAAAAACAAATATTTTCGTAGAAAATGTTCATTAACCACAAAAGCAAATATTTTCATAGAGAATGTTCATCAATTATGAAAAAAAAAATTTTCATAACATTTTCATGGGAATAAAAATTGATGTATACAAATGGTATAAATTATCGTGGTAGAAATTCATAGGAATGAAGATTTGAACACATTTTAAGTATTTTTCCTAAGGAAGAAATATTTTCCAAGACCTAAGTACTATGTAGCACCATGAATTATATTTCAATAGTATGTAAAGAAGCACAGAGAGAACTTTCAGAACACAGCTTCCATTATAGTTACCAGAAGAAAAGACAGTCTTTTGGACAGAATTTTTGTTCCTGGATCTGATTTCTACATAACATTTAACAACCAAATTGACCTTGACCTTGCCATCAAGGACACTTGCGTTCCACACAGCTACGACCTCCCTCTTCATACTCCTGCTTAGATATCCACATCTGCTGGAAGGAGCCCTGTATAAAGTAAGGCTTGTCTGAGTGAAATATATAAAACTCATCATATCTTTATTGATATGAAAATCTGTTTTTTTAAATTTAAGAAATCTTCCATGAAGTATCGTATTTTTGACTGATCCAAAATGCTGGTATCAGCGAAAATACCTGTCACATACAAAAGTAATTATTGAAATGTTTAAAAAGTCAATGACAACACATATCAGCATTACATTGTGAAAGACTCAGTTATGTAATTAATGTTTATTAATTAATCATTATTAAATCACAGGGAAAGAATTTGACCCTGAACATAACACATCAGAGCACATGATAATGACATAATTCATGCTGATAAAATTCACCAAACAGAGAAATAAACAAAGAGGCCCATGGGGCTTAACTGTCAACCGAGTCTTACAAAAATTGCTGTTTTGTTGTTCTGTCTTGTCATAGAAATCATCTTGGTGGTAAGATAAGATGATAAATGATGAATGTAATGCAAATGATTAAAATTTCTATCAAGCTAACACATTTTGGTCCTGCCCATCATGCCCCTGGAGGTCAGACAGGGTTGATACGTACATACATGTACCACAAACAACCATCACAAGGTAATGATTCTAAGTTTAAATCATGTCCAGTAATGGGGACAAAACAAATCATGACAAAATGACAATTTTCTGTATGATATAAATGTATAATAAAAGGCTATATCAAAACTTTGTCCCACGTGACATAAAATGGTGAATAAACTGACAAACAAATGGCGAGACTTGGATATTTTTTATGAGTATCCGCTAGAGGGGGTGTTCAAATAATATAGAAGATGCCATTATGCAGTATATAAATGCCAAAGGTTTTTTTTCTTTTATGGCTGTTAGATTCCAAAAAGTGACTGTGACTACAAAGGAACTCAACACCCCTCTCTGTCAAAAAGATATCACTTTGACAGTCATTAAACATGCACATTGATAAATTCACTGATACTGTACAGGTGACTCCCAGATATCTTACCAAAGATGCTAGAATTGATCCTCCAATCCAACTGCTGAATCGTCTCTCCGCGGTACCGGTGGCAGATATAATCTTCAGTCTCATGCTCTAAAAAAGGATGAATAATGGTAATATTTCTGGTAAGACTAGGTGTAGCAGTTCATGTTTAGATAGATCAAATTTGTTGTATATGTTTGAGCTTTAATTTTTTCTATGCAGGATGAGAGTTGTCTCCCCTTGTGAATCACAGGGAACGCCTGAATCGGTTAGGAAAGATGAAACATTTGATGTCAGCAACCAAACTCTGAATCTGTTACCGTTACGTTCGTATGCAACATCTGCACCTCATCACAGCAGTAGTTTTTATGATGGATATGGTGAAGAATGGAATAAAATGTAATAAAATGAGTGATAGGGTTAAAAAATGGTAGCATTTAAAAGATTTCATGATTTAATAAAAATAATGTATGTCTGGCTGTAACATATCTAAAAGTTAAAAAAAAATTCTTCATTTCAACTGAAATATAGCTGAATTTAAAATACATGTATTACCAATTTTTCAATATTACTTTAATTTTTTTAAAAAATGAACATGTTGGAAAATTCTTACAAGCCTGTATTTTTCCATGCCTTATAAAAAATTTTAAGCTCTGTCCTACTTTCTGGACTGACACAACTGTCATCTGGATCAAATATTCAGCATTTCACATGAAACATCAAAAGAAATCAAAATTAAATTTTCAATTAGTTTCCTCAAATTTGAATTGAAAAAGATACATTAACATTTTTGTAACTAAAAGTTATCATTTTGAATCAATGTATCATTGTGTAATTAGATAGTTAATCAGTTTGTTTGTTGAAACTAACACCCAATGAACGGACAGGGTCATTTTGCAACCAGGTTTCCTGATAGTTGGTGGTGATTACCTCACAGAACAACATACTGGAGGACCACATATTATTGGAGCAATCGGGGTAATGTTTCTTGCCAAAGAACACAATTACAATAGCCTAGACCAGCCTAATTCTCAGGTTCATGAGAAACACAAACCACTACAGGTAGGGAACGACAAACTACCCATCTCAGATTGTTGCCTGAGGTTTTCATAGGCCAACATTCTGACTGGCTAAGCTGTGGTGTCCCTGGTTGATAGTCTAACAGAAACATAAACATATTCATTCAGATAAAAGATGAATACGGAACTAATTCAATAAGAAAGAAACTCACTGTAAAGTAATGCACTGATTTATATATGGTTAGAGTATTCTTTATCTATCCTTTCAGCTATGTCGGTAGAGATGTATGTCTTCCTCCAGTTTCATATCTGGAAGGTGACTGTTCCTAAGTCACTTCCAGTCATAAACACAAAATTGGGATTTTCCGGTTGTCACTGAGGTGAGATTTTTAGAATATGACAGATAACATCACTATTTAAACTTTTTTTTCTGTTTCATACATTTTTTCCTTTTTTCTTATAGGTAAAGCCTTCTCTTTGTAAAGTGAACACTGACACTACTGTTCCATTCAAAGATACAATCATTTACAATGTCAGATGATGTTATAAGGAAAAGGCTGATTAACCTGTAGTTCTGTAAGTGTAGTTCTGACATTTAATCACACTAGTTCCTAAAGTAGTAATACTGACTTAATCATTACTAACTTATTATCTCCCTTTATTTATACAGATACATGCCTTTGTTACTAGCCATTTAATCATGATTACCCATGAATGGGGACTAAGTGTGCAGTGGATTGTGGTAACAGGTGATTTATATGCCCACACTTTTCTATTGTGAGAGGTGTGAAGTATGCATTAAACAGGTATCCAGTGAAACATTCTTCAACTCACGGTATCTGTTATAAATATATAAATTAGTGAAACATTCTTCAACTCACGGTATCTGTTATAAATATATAAATTAGTGAAACATTCTTCAACTCACGGTATCTGTTATAAATATATAAATTAGTGAAACATTCTTCAACTCACTGTACCTGTTATAAATATATAAATTAACTCTATCTATTTTACAAAAAATGTGAAACAAGGTATAAACTTATAAAAATCACTTTTGTAGACCTATTTGAAACTGTGCATGGGGTCTTTCTGTTGGAGTAAAACAGAGTATGCAAGGAAACCCCACATGGTCGGGCAAGGGATCCAGCACATTTATATGCATGTTCTGCCTATCAAACCCTGGATGTATAAGTGAAAGGCGAGTGCATAACCACTGTGCCACCTGACCACACAGGTGATAATAAATGTACTGAATTTTAGAACAACTTTTGTTGATTTTTTTTCTCCTTCAGAAAAGTACACACTTAAATATTTAAATGTTTTTTTCTGTATTTCTAAAGTGATGATTCTTGTATACACTATTTTGTTCAGTTTCCAGTTTAATTGATTATATAAAAGTTTAAGTGTTTTAAATTAAAATGGATACATATGTCATATATATATCGTTGTGAACAAGATATTTTCACATATACACCATTCTTGTTTTAAATTAGCTTCATAACTCAATGATCCCGAAGAAATACTCTTATCAAATGCAGCTTGATAAAATCCTGTGCATCATACATATCAAATGTAGACAACACATAAATGTTCTGTGCACAACCAAAATCTGACAGATTCCTAGAGAAATGCTTCTTAAAATACCAACAGTACATCAAGTTATGTGATAAAGAGCTATCATCTAATGTATGCCAAAGTAGACATTGTCAATATAATGTAGGTAATACGTCTATTAGTTATACCAAAAACGAAACTCCAGAAAGTCTTAGTTTGACAAGATAGGCTGTAGGGGAACGGTGCAGCTCAAACAGATTGGCGGGTTCCCTACTGTTATTTGTGATAAGGAGATGTACAGACAGACAGTGTACTGGGTCGCCTTAATCATTTTCAGTACAGATATCTTAGTCTACACAAAGAGTATATATTTTATTCATCTCTAAAATATTGATGGCTTAATATCTTAAAATTAATCAAATATTTCTAAAAAATTACCTTACAGTTTAATACAGAATCATCCATCTTTCAATGATTTCTGAAATATTTGTGCCACAACCATTCACAGCTGTTTGCAGCTAAAATCTGATTGTTGCAACATCTACCTTTAGCGGAGGGTTTGCTCCTGTGAGGAAAAAGGCTTTAGGTCCTGTTCCATAAATGAGACATTCAAGAGACTTTAGACAAGAGATCTAAGGAGATCATGGCACCAACCTTTGTTTGATCTTTATTCATTCTTAATAAAAATGGACCCTTTTCAGCCTTTTCTCTTCTTTCCTCTGTTTAAGGTCTTAATTATATCAAATACGATGAGGAATCTGCAATACCAGTCTTTTAACTATCAAATCGAAGACAATCTCCTGTCAGCCATTTGACAAAGACCCATCCAGTACTTCTCCAGAAATTGGGATCACAAACTTTTATTGTTAACATCAAAGATGACTGCCTGTGAGCTAGCTATTATGTTTTTTTTCCTGATCAGTCCGAAAGTGGAGTTATTAAAAGTGACAAAGGGAACCTACATCTGAAAATAGAGAACAATCAATTTTGTACTTCTAAAAAAATAGCAATAAAAATCTTTCATTGTTAAAATTCATTTTTTTCTTATCAGACAAAGTAGATACTAAATAGATTTGACAAAGATTGATCCAGTACTTCCCAAGAAATTGTGATCACAAACTTTCATTGTCAAAATCTAAGATGGCTGCCTGTCAGCCATTTTTTTTTATCATTCCCACATTCAAAAAGGCACAACTAGGAAGATCTTTCCAGTGCTTCTCAAGAACAGCAGTAACAAAGGCTGTTTAAGGACTGATGACAGATGAATGACAACAGAGAGACGAAGGGCCATTGATGCAGGGTGATTTAAACCGCTCACAATCTTATGTATTACTACTTTCTGCTCAATACTCACTCTTGTGTTAGTGTAAGGACTAATTTGCCTATTGTAAGTATAATTGTGACTGTGGGGTGTCCTGCCAGTTTACATACAGTGTACTTCAGTACGATGTAGCACCATAAAATCTGCCTCAGTCCCTTTCTATTACAAGGAGCTTACACGAACACACAGCAGCCTCCCGAGAACACACACACTCACCTCCAATAATACATGGAGAGATCAGTCTTAAATGACTACAGATGTTGACAAGACATTAAACAATTAAAATCTAACAGTATTCTTTAAAACATGTATATTGTATCCTCCTTCAGTGCTACAACACTATTACATGTACCTACATTGTATATATATATATATATATTAAATATCATTTATAACCAATTAAATCTCATTTTTTATTGCTAATGGAGTAATTAATATTTCTATAAACTTCTATGTAATAATTAAAATTATTATAAACTAGAACAAAGAAGGATATGTGTGGCTTCAAACTGTATTATTTTGAAGAAAGATGTTCATAATACAGTGCATTTAGACTTTTAGCATGTTTAAATCAAATCTGAAGTTAAATTCAAATATATTTATGATTTACAAAGTCGTTTTGTTCAAAAGGTGACAAACAAAGGTAAGCAACATTAACATTTGTCTCTATGATGTTAGGTATCCTAGCTTAAACACAAACTACATCCTTATAATTCTTTTTCAATTTCTTCTGGATTTAAAAATAATCACCTCATACATATAAGCATTGCGTCCTGATCTATGGATTTACTGGGGTAGGTATTTTCATACTCTATTATCATCTTACATAAAAAAAAATTCTTTCTCAATTTCTGTTAGTTCTTTAGGTAGGCCATGCTGTTTAAAGAAAATTTTTAAAAGCTTACAATTTTTTTTTCATGCAAGAATGATTGAACATAAAACATTCTGAATTTTTTAAGCCTCGTCTGCAAAACTTTTAATAAATTTGGACCAAGAAAATCATCTTTTAATTCCTATATGGCATTAAAAATTGTAACATTAACAAATTAACACTGTTACATAGAATCAAAAAGCAAGGTGATCTTAATGCTAAAAAGTACCAATTACCTAAGGTATTATCTGATTAGCACTTTCTGTCCAATAAAGTGTGAGAGAGACCAGAGATGGTATAGGAATGGGAGATAGCAGAACATGTACACCTCACTATCTGGTAT